CACACACACACACACACACACACACACACACACACACACACACACACACACACACACACACACAAGCACACACAAGCACGCGCGCACCGAGCGAGAAACCGTACTAAACATAGCCGTCATATATATACGCCATCAGAAACTCGACTTTCTCGACAACAACAACACCCGCAGACATTGATGAGCATATAATTGGACAATAGCGCCGGAAATTGCAAATTGCGAAGAAAGGGATCGCAGCGGGAGGAAAGAGGAGAAAACAGAATCAGTGGGCGGTGCACGCGCGGGGCCACGGACGGACCGTACACGTGCAGTGTGTGCTCGTTGAAGAGATGGTAGCTAGGGTCTCTTACTGAGTAGAAGCAATTCTCTCTGACGATGATTCTGTTGCTGAAGCTCTCGTTGTGCGCCTCTATTTTCAGCGTGCGCGCTCGCCTATCCAGCGAGTTCTTCTGAATAAAGTAGATGTATTCGACTCCGACAATCTGCAACAGCGAGGAGGGAAAATATATATAATACAAATAGAAATACGACGCAAAGCAGAATAGAGAAAGAGAAACGCGCGCGCGAATAGACGGATAAATGCAGTATTCATCGCGTCTCAGCGTTTGCGTCACGTACGCAGCCAAATAACGGGGCCGCCGCATTTTGTGCGCCACGTTTTATTCGTCTCCGGCACATGCATGCATTCAGCGTGAACGCTCGTCTCCGCTGTGGCTACGCGATAAATAAGCCGATCAACATCCCCCCACCCCCACCACCACCACCGCGTGGTCGGCTGAATGCACGCACGACGCTTTTACCATGCAATATTGAACGCGGCCATTGCCCGCGTAGGAACGGGAACCCAGTGATGGGAACGACAATTAATGCATATTTTTGCATATTTCACGCATGAACGCACGCATTCGGACGTAAATGATTGCCAATTTCGTTGTAGATTATTTACTCTCGATGCCATGCATTCATTTTTAATGCAATAATCAATTCGACGGCGAGAAATGTGGTTTATTGAAGTTTTTCAATAGAAGATAGGTAGTATACTCAACTATATAGTCTATTTGCTAATGATTTGAAAATGGCATTGAAAGCTGGCAGGATGGCCATGAGACACAGCGAGTGCACGCAAGAGCTGTGGCACTGATCGCCCATGCCCACAAGGCCACAACAACCACGGACAACATCAATGTCGCCATAGTGCCACTGGTAACGCACGCAATTACAGGAATGGCACTTCGTACTTCCTTGTATTAATTATTCAAGCATGCCCGCACCTGCTCTACCAGTGCAAACAAACGCGAAAAGTGAAGGGCTTGTACATATATATATATATATGTAGTATACACTGTACATGTCAGGTAAGCGAAATAACCTGCCAGAGGAAGAGAGAGCAGGACAAAAAGAGCGGGAGAAAGGGGAAGAGATGGCGAAAGACATAGAAAGATAGATAGATAGATAGATAGATAGATTTGTAAATCAATCATGCAAATATTTCCGTTAATTGGAAAACAATAGTTAAATGGATAAAGATAGAAAAATAAAGAAAACAAAAAAATAATTAAAAACCAAACGGGATTCGAACCATCGCCCTTTTAGACGTAGCGACGGTGTTCTACCAGCTGAGCTACACAGGTTATATCAAAAATAGTACATGACATATGCTAAATAAGCAAACACATGTGCGCACGCCTGTTTTTGAACCAATCAGGAGGCAGGATTTTACTGTTATATGTAAACCTGCTTGGGAAAAAAAATTTCGCCCCCGGGGCATGATCGACCCCTGAATAAGCCAAGTAAAATAGTGTTGTGTTAATATCCAATGATTCATTTATTCGATGAAAAAGATGTGTCAAACTATATAACTACATCAAACTGTATCAAAACTATATATAAGTAACATCAAACTGTATCAAAAACTACATAACTACACATCAAACTGTATATATCACCTATATATGTAACCTATATAACTAGGTATATCAAACTATAAATTGTTATATTGGTATTTACGTATATACATGCGTATGGATGCGTATTATATATATTCGTATTATATATATGTATATGTATATGTATACGCATGTATATGCGTATTATATATATGCGATTACGTATATACATGCGTATATACATATATATTGGTATATACGTATATCTTGTACGTACGCACCATCTTCCGCTGTTAAACAAAACTCTGAAAATAAACAATGAAAAAGCTAAGAACTAAAACTCAAACTATGTAACAAGGCGATGACGTTGCCTCCCTCTACCCAGGTTCTCGGTCCGGCTAAGAGAGGGTTTCCTCCAACGGTAGTTGACAGTAACGCCGATAGGTAACAAGAACACAGGATTGTCTAATTCACTCTACGTGCGTATATTATTAGAAACCTCTGACACCTAAACTATCGCTCCACGTAACGCGTACAATAATACAATGCTTGGAGAGCCGATTCGTATATCGGCTCTTCTCGCGCGTCGCGTACAAAACGTACAATAGTTACCTTAAGATGCAGATGCTATCGATACCCGGAATCACTCGGCGGTGTACGGCTTCGGAGATAGAACGTAGGAGAGGGGACAGATATCGGAAAGTGGAAGACGTAGGAGGGATGGAGAAAGGAGAACCTACGTGGTAGACAGAGGAGACCCGAGTGTCTGTCGCGACACGTCACGCGTTCCATTTCGCGACGGCAGCCATAAAAGCATAGGACCGGTAGCGAGCCATAAAGGTGCGCTCTGCCATGCAAATTGCTCTTTTTTATGAGCGCCGAACATCAAGCGATTTGCCGACGCAAGGTTGTTTATAAAATCGACTTGTTTTTGGAATGGCAAGCGTCTATACTAC